ATCTGTTTAATAGTTATCCCGACATCCATCATGGCCATTGTCATTACAATAATTAGTATACACTGTCTTTGCTTGGTCGATTCGAGTACAATCGTTATCGTCTCATAAGTGGCAATAATATCTGTACAAAAAGCGATTAAATAATAAAACTATGAAATACACAGTATACTAGAGATTACAACAAATCTTCATTTTCCCTCAATCCGCCATTCAGAGAACACGTCTGCTCCGGCTAATCATCTTAACTTTCACGGTATACAGTCAAAACTATTTGAGTGAAGAATTGTCTTTTTCTTCTTCCATGCCAATGATGTGCAAGTCGAGCGTCATATTGCTATACGAATTATTTAGTTTTTGTTGTTGAATCGCGTGTTGTTAGGAAAATTTGTCATGGAATTTTTTTGTTTCAGAGGTTGAATTGGAATATATCTACTTATTTTGAGAGTGCTATTTAGATTTGGAAATGAAGAGCTTTCGGCAGGCTGACAATAACATCAAGAAACAATATATTAACCCATAACTTTTTGTACTATCAAACAGTGGACTTTGTGAGAGATTTTCCCGACATAGGAACATAATTCCTCGTCTAAACCTGTTCGTTTTGAATATTTAAAGAGCCTGACAGAGGGCCGTCTTCCAAGAGACCCTGAATGGGAGAAATGTGTGTAGATGAGTGTCTGAAGTTAGTGCAACTCTATCTAGGCGGTTTTCATAAAGTGAAGTGTGTTTAATTCTCGTATACGGGCATGATTATGCCAATTAAGTCGTAGGTCTTTGAAAGATATATCACCAAATAGACAGCATCAACAAACAGAAATTAATGATCAAATTGAGAACTATTACAATTTATTAAAGAATATCTAATCGACCCAATGGATGGTGTGGATAATTATTTTCCATCAATATATTGATTTAGGAACAGTGACTAATGGCAAAAAAAAATCATGATTACTTTTCGTTTTCACCCGAAACTACAGAGTAAAGCTACGTTTTGACAGTCATGATTACACCACAGACATGTGAAGAAGACTAAGCTTGGTATTGCTGTTGACACCAGTGAATCGAAGGATAAGACTAGAATTGAAAGGTTTCACCTGATTTAAAGGACAGAGAAAACTGTCTCCGTGTTTACGTCGTTGTTTTACAAAATCTTTAGTTTCTGAAGAAACCAAAATTGCATAGGCTAACTCTTTGAGATGGGGATAAAGCGGAAGGATACAGCTAATAACAGAAATAAGGTGAGTATGAAATTTTTGAAACCTACTGCTTGATTTTATCAAAACTTTGTCAACAACATCGTTAACTCGTCTCGTTGAAGAAGGAAACAAAATCATGTATTAATTTTGTAAAAGCGTGCAATATTTTCTGATTTATTCTTCTTCTCAATAAGATACATATTTATGACTGTGTGAGTATTTCTATATACCCAACATTAAACATTATACCACGAGACATGTTGTCTGAAAACAAAATAGGTATAGGCCTATAATTTATAATTATATCAAAAATTAAATCATAAACTTGTGTAATGTGTAACATGCTCTCATTTTAAGAAAAACAAATATTTATCACTTTATTACAATGATTTTTTTTTGTTTCGCTGGTATTGTACAATATTACTTCAATAAATCTTTACATTGCGTCTAGATCTTTATGCTCTAAAACAACGCATTCCTTGTTCTGGATCTGCGTAGGGTTGCATAGTGTGGCGTACCGAGTACGTCGAAATTAAGCTGCGTATTCATGAACAACATGTTACTTCGGCCTGGTCTCTGCGTAGGTTATGCGTAGGCTGGCGTACATGCATATGGTTACGTACCCTGGGCATAGGCACCGCGTACAAACGGCGTATGCAAGTGGCGTACCTACGCGAACGATTGCGTATAGCAGGCGTAAGGTTGCGTGCTATTGCGTAGGCATGGCGTACAATAGCGTACTGTTGCGTAGACTTGCGTAAAAATGCTTACTTTCTGCGTCTAGTGTCTACACAGAAAGTACGCGAAAAAAATTAAACATGTTTAATTTTGTGCGTCCATCTCGCGTACCCATTTGCGTCCCTCAGCGTACAGTTACGTAGGCCGGCGTAGGATAGCGTAAGCTCGGCGTAGTCGGTACGCAACACTACGCAACTCTACGCAAGGCCCGGTGTGAAAGCCCCTTTAGCGTATAGTTACGTAGGCCAGCGTAGGGCAGCGTAAGCTCGGCGTAGTCGGTACGCAACACTACCCCTGTTATTATGTTTATAATGCAGATGCTTTATATATGATTTCATTTTGTGTTATGTATTTGTTATATTTTGTCACTAGGGTGCCTTTAGCCTTGATCTCAAGTGGATTTAGCCCCTTACAAATATTATATATTAATATCATTAAATATACCACCATCTTTCGGGGTCCCTCTCCTACACCTCTCCCTTTCTCTATCTTATTTAAAAAAAAAAAAAAAAAAAAATTGATTTTGATTTATGTAATATTTTGTGTTATTTCAACTTTGAATTGCAATTGTATTGTATCTTTGTGTATAGGATCGTAATTTAGCCATAGGCTGCGATGATCTTTTTGATAAAAACCGTTTCTATCTATCCATCTATTCTGATCCATAAACAATTGATCGAAATATAATATCAAAATTTACTATTCCTGGCCACCATTTTTTTTCCAAGTGTATTCTACTAGTCTACAAAGGAGATGATTTCTTAATTTTTCATGCAACACGTTTTTTTCCAGCACATTCAGCAACCTGCTCAATATGTACGCATCATACTGCTATCGTCATGTATCATGCTATCGGTATCCTTGACAGGTAAGACACGAATTCGAATTGATTAGCAGCGTGATCCAACCCCTAAATCCATAATATCAATTGCCATCATCATTTCATCATCATTCTCATCATCGTCATCATCATCATTATCTTCATCATCATCATCATCATCACCATCATCAACATCATCATCACCATCATCAACATCATCATCACCATCATCATCACCATCATCATCATCATCATCACCATCATCATCATCATCACCATCATCATCATCATCATCACCATCATCATCATCATCATCACCATCATCATCATCATCATCATCACCATCATCATCATCATCACCATCATCATCATCATCTTCATTAAAATCATTCTGATCCTCAACATTACCCACCGTATCATCAACATTAGCGTCATCATTATTTTTGTCTTGGTTGGAATTTATTTCGAGAAAGAGTAAATCATCCCCTCCAATGCTGCATTCTCAAATGATTATGCTCAGACACGTATTCTTATCATGATTGTAGCAAAAATATAAAATATTGGTCTCATATCCTGCCTATAACTTCTTCTATTTCAAACAGCTGGAATGTGGGGTTTAAACATCGAAACAAGACCCCGACGCGAGGTTTCATCATCGTTGACTTCGCAGATGAAGACTACCAAGACCCTAACGCAACACATTTCATGCCAGTCAATTATCAGCCCGGACGGAACCGTGATAAAACTCCTGCCAAAACGGATCTTCAAACAACCGCTTTGTCTACCTGTTTTGGACAACATCGACCGACATCTCCTATGCCGGTTACCAGGTTGGATGTTATTCTTTCTCTCTCTCTCTCCCCCTCTTTCTCTCTCTTTCTCTCTTCTCTTTTCTTCTCTTCTCTCCTTTTCTCTTCTTTCTCATTGTCTCTCCCTACACTTCTCTCCTTCCCTCCCTTTAAAACACACACATGAGTGAGTGTGAGTGTGACGGAATGCCCAGGGCGGTACTGGTGCAAGTGATGATACATATATTTCTTGTTCTGTAGATTGCTACAAGAAACCATGCACGAATGGAAAATGTGAAGAAACAGTTGACGGGTACATGTGCGATTGTTCACCGGGTTTCAAGGGAGAAAACTGCGAAATTGGTAAATACATGGTTCTAGGACACCTACCCCCTGGACATCCACCCACGGATAACCACCCCAGTCAACTACGCCCGGACAACTATCCCCTAGGATATAGCTTTCCGGGGGTAGTTATCCTAGAGGATGGTTGTCGTAAAATAGGGGGTAGTTGTCTGTGGTAGTTGCCCGGGGGGGGGGGGTAGTTGTCATAGGGAGTAGTTGTCCTAGGGGGTAGCTGTCTGGGGGTTAGTTGTCCGGGGTAGTTGTCCCGGGGATAGTCGTCCTAGAGGGTGGTTGCCTTAGAGGGTAGTTGTCCTAGCCGGGTAGTTCACTGGGGGTGGTTCTCCGGCGGGTGGATATCTAGGGGGTAGGTGTCCGGATACAGGTAAATATACCGTATCACAAATAGATTTGCATTTAAGAAATACTAAAAAGCATCTCATCAGGAAGATAAAAATATCGCAATTTCAAATATGACAGACCAACGTATAGACCAAGGAAGTGTGTCTCAAGATAAGCTTTTTTAAAGCTCACTATGTGCCTCCTTTGAGTTTCTCTTTTTAATTTTAAGGCAGAGGCCATAAAATTGTGTTGAAAGGCGGAAATTAGACAAATGAAATTAGAATAAAATATAAATCGCTGCTCACCGCGAAATGAAAATTTGAAGAAGTTAAACGTGTCCTAATGAACCTTCTCTAAAACTGAGACACCTTAAATGTGAGCGATGTACTATTACCATACCTATCACCTCTGTTTTACCATGTTATCGTATTGGTGGATATCGAGTGGATTATGGATACGTCGCCGGACTGTCGATCACAAGGTCCGCGGTTCGACTCCCGCCGCTGCACTAATGTCCTTTGGCAAGACATTGATCTACTTTTGCCACACTCCACCCAGGTGAAGTAAATGGGTACCTGGTAGGAATTTATTCCTTGAAACGCAGCGCGCGTACCAGCTGCACTGCTAAAGCCAGGGTAATTATGCTGCATTATTGTAGAGCGCTTAGAGACTTCTGACAAAGTAAGTGTTAGGCGCTATATAAGCACTGTAATTATTGTTATTATTATCATTATTGGTTACAGGTACAATGCAGGTGGACGAAAGACTAACAACTCAACCGCATTCGACTAACGGTCCTTGGAACACTCCTACCCCACCACCACCACCATCAGCATCACCACCACCATCATCATCTCTTGCGACATATCTTGTAACGCCCTCTAAAGATCGTTTAACATCGTCTAATTCTTCATACTCTCCTTCTTTTTCTCTTCCACTCGCCTCTCCCATCTCACCCTCTTCATCATCAGCATCAGCATCACCACCACCATCATCATCTCTTGCGACATATCTTGTAACGCCCTCTACAGTTCGTTTAACATCGTCTAATCCTTCATACTCTCCTTCTTTTTCTCTTCCACTCGCCTCTCCCATCTCACCCTCTTCATCATCAGCATCACCATCACCATCACCACCACCATCATCTTCTCTTGCGACATATCTTGTAACGCCCTCTACAGTTCGTTTAACATCGTCTAATCCTTCATACTCTCCTTCTTTTTCTCTTCCACTTGCCTCTCCCATCTCACCCTCTTCATCATCAGCATCACCATCAGCATCACCACCACCATCATCATCACCACCACCATCAGCATCACCATCACCACCACCACCATCATCATTATCATCTCTTGCGACATATCTTGTAACGCCCCCTACAGTCCGTTTAACATCATCTGATCCTTCATACTCTCCTTCTTATTCTCTTCCACTCGCCTCTCCCATCTCACCCTCTTTATCATCAACACCAGCATCACCATCACCATCACCATCACCACCACCATCATCTTCTCTTGCGACATATCTTGTAACGCCCTCCACAATTCGTTTAACATCGTCTAATCCTTCACACTCTCCTTCTTTTTCTCTTCCACTCGCCTCTCCCATCTCACCCTCTTCATCATCAGCATCAGCATCACCACCACCATCATCATCTCTTGCGACATATCTTGTAACGCCCCCTACAGTCCGTTTAACATCATCTGATCCTTCATACTCTCCTTCTTATTCTCTTCCACTCGCCTCTCGCATCTCACCCTCTTCACCCTCTTCATCAGCATCATCACCACCATCCTCATCTCTTGCGACATATCTTGCAACGCCCTCTACAGATCGTTTAACATCGTCTAATACTTCATACTCTCCTTCTTTTTCTCTTCCACTCGCCTCGATCATCTCACCCTATTCATCATCAGCATCAGCATCAGCATCAGCATCACCATCACCACCACCATCACCATCACCATTACCATCATCATCTTTTGCGACATATCTTGTAACGCCCTCTACAGTTAGTTTAACATCGTCTGATCCTTCATACTCTCCTTCTTATTCTCTTCCACTCGCCTCTCGCATCTCACCCTCTTCACCCTCTTCATCAGCATCATCACCACCATCCTCATCTCTTGCGACATATCTTGTAACGCCCTCTACAGATCGTTTAACATCGTCTAATACTTCATACTCTCCTTCTTTTTCTCTTCCACTCGCCTCGATCATCCCACCCTATTCATCATCAGCATCAGCATCAGCATCAGCATCACCATCACCACCACCATCACCATCACCATTACCATCATCTTCTCTTGCGACATATCTTGTAACGCCCTCTACAGTTAGTTTAACATCGTCTAATCCTTCTTACTCTCCTTCTTTTTCTCTTCCACCCGCCTCTCGCATCTCACCCTCTCCATCATCAGCATCAGCATCACCACCACCATCATCATCACCACCACCATCACCATCACCATCACCATCACCACCACCATCACCATCACCACCACCATCATCCTCCCTTGCGACATATCTTGTAACGCCCTCTACAGATCGTTTAACATTGTCTAATACTTCATACTCTCCTTCTTTTTCTCTTCCACTCGCCTCGATCATCCCACCCTCTTCATTATCAGCATCACTATCACCATCACCATCATCATCACCATCACCATCACCACCACCATCACCATCACCATTACCATCATCTTCTCTTGCGACATATCTTGTAACGCCCTCTACAGGTAGTTTAACATCGTCTAATACTTCTTATTCTCCTTCTTTTTCTCTTCCACTTGCCTCTCCCATCTCACCCTCTTCATCATCATCATCACCATCACCACCACCATCATCATCTTTTGCGACATATCTTGTAACGCCCTCTACGGATCGTTTAACATCGTCTAATCCTTCATACTCTCCTTCTTTTTCTCTTCCACTTGCCTCTCCCATCTCACCCTCTTCATCATCATCATCACCATCACCACCACCATCATCATCTTTTGCGACATATCTTGTAACGCCCTCTACGGATCGTTTAACATCGTCTAATCCTTCATACTCTCCTTCTTATTCTCTTCCACTCGCCTCTCGCATCTCACCCTCTTCATCATCAACATCAGCATCACCACCACCATCATCATCTCCTGCGACATATCTTGTAACGCCCTCTACAGATCGTTTAACATCATCTAATCCTTCATACTCTCCTTCTTATTCTCTTCCACTAGCCTCTCGCATCTCACCCTCTTCATCATCAACATCAGCATCACCACCACCATCATCATCTCCTGCGACATATCTTGTAACGCCCTCTACAGATCGTTTAACATCGTCTAATACTTCATACTCTCCTTCTTTTTCTCTTCCACTCGCCTCGATCATCTCACCCTATTCATCATCAGCATCAGCATCAGCATCACCATCACCATCACCACCACCATCACCATCACCATCACCATCACCATTACCATCATCTTCTCTTGCGACATATCTTGTAACGCCCTCTACAGATCGTTTAACATTGTCTAATACTTCATACTCTCCTTCTTTTTCTCTTCCACTCGCCTCGATCATCCCACCCTCTTCATTATCAGCATCACCATCACCATCACCATCATCATCACCATCACCATCACCACCACCATCACCATCACCATCACCATTACCATCATCTTCTCTTGCGACATATCTTGTAACGCCCTCTACAGGTAGTTTAACATCGTCTAATCCTTCTTATTCTCCTTCTTTTTCTCTTCCACTTGCCTCTCCCATCTCACCCTCTTCATCATCATCATCACCATCACCACCACCATCATCATCTTTTGCGACATATCTTGTAACGCCCTCTACGGATCGTTTAACATCGTCTGATCCTTCATACTCTCCTTCTTTTTCTCTTCCACTCGCCTCTCGCATCTCACCCTCTTCATCATCATCATCACCATCACCACCACCATCATCATCTTTTGCGACATATCTTGTAACGCCCTCTACGGATCGTTTAACATCGTCTGATCCTTCATACTCTCCTTCTTTTTCTCTTCCACTCGCCTCTCCCATCTCACCCTCTTCATCATCAGCATCACCATCACCATCACCACCACCATCATCATCTCCTGCGACATATCTTGTAACGCCCTCTACAGTTCGTTTAACATCGTCTAAACCTTCACACTCTCCTTCTTTTTCTCTTCCACTCACCTCTCCCATCTCACCCTCTTCATCATCTCTAACACGTTCCCCTTCTATTCTATTCCCTAGCTATCTCTCCTCTCCATCATCGTCATCATCTTCCTCACATTCTCCATCTGCTGCTCCTCCTCTTGAATCGAGCAATACTCCCCAATCTTCATCTTCTTACCCATCTCCCTCTTTTGTCAATGATTCTTCCTCTGATTCCTTTCACCAATCTGATTCTTCAGACGGTTCTTCATACGACACTTCATGACCATCCTAAAGAATGGGATACCAATATTTCCCCACCTGTCCATGTATTCTAATGGGCCCTTATACGCCAATTAGTCCCTTTATTTAAATTGGTCAATGTATTCAAACTGCTCCCTCCCTAAAAAGGGTCCATGTTTCCAATACTGCCCCATGGATCAACCCAGAGCATGAACATAAAGAAGAGGATTCCTCAGCCCGAACGTCCTCTTCAACGTCATCCCTACCGTCGACATTCAGGCGACGTCGTCGTCGTCGTCGTCGTCGTCGCCGTCGCTCGTGGTGGAAGAAATAATGCCTATACTCGCAGCTGGAAACAGCTTGGGAAATGTCCTCCTATTTTCTTCGTAGACATTGGGTGCATGTCATCCCCGACCTCCTACTCCGGGAACGTAGGGACCACATGCGTGTTCTCAAACTCTCCGGCTCGCAACAAAAGAAAAAGGTCTACCCGTATTGACTTGACACACCAGACTTAAGCTGAAAAGGGGGGGGGGGGGTGGGGGATGGGTGCTGAAAAGACTCGTATAACAAAAGAAAAATGTCTACCCGTATTGACTTGACACACCGGACTTATGCTGAAAGGGGGGGGGGGGGGGTGCTGGGAACACGCATATGCGTACCCTAAATAACACTGAGTGGGGGGGGGGGGGGGTGTCATCATCTCGTGTCGATGTCATTTATTGCTATTGAATAGTGATATCATTATCACCATCTTTCAGACGTTCAGGGAACAAACCCCTAAAGTTTAATAGATTGTTAAAGAAATACGAATGGTGTGATATCTGGAGGAAAATGAATGTTAATACTATTGAGTTTACCTGGAGAAATACATATCTCAAACTTGCTTCAAGATTAGATTATTGGAAGGTCGATAATTTTTTTTAGGGAAAGTTGTAAACACAAATATCAGACCAGCAATAAGAGCTGATAACAACGTAATTTATCTAAAAATCAAAACAAAATCTGTTCAAAAGGGTCCAGGTTACTGAAAGCTGAACAGTCGTGTTCTGCTTGATGACTGTTATCATAACGATATTTATCATGTTATTTGTTCAATCAATTCTCAAAGTATGAGTCCCCTGCAGAAATGGGAACTTTTGAAAATAAAGATATGTGAATTCAAACACACAAATATTGTAAACATAAAAGTTTCAGATCAAAAACAGAAAAGGTTTTTTTTTTTTTTTTTTTTTAGAAATGAAGCTTAATGTGGTACCAAAAACGTATTGATAACCAAAGTGGAAGTAATGATAATGAAATCGGATATAGAGTCATAAAAGAAGAGCCGGAAAATATGTATAAAGTTGAATCTAAAGGAGCTGGTATCAGAGCTAAGGAAAGATGGATGGAAGAGGGAGATGAAGTACTAAATATTTCTCAGCTTAGAAAAGAGAAAAGAGAAATGCTAGCAAACAAAAACATAAATCAGTTAGAGACAGGAAACAGAAACAGAATTATTGAAAAACAGTATACATGTAGTAAGTTGTATAGTATTTAATTTTAAGCTGTTATAAAATTATGAAATACTACCAGTTCGGGAAAATCTGTTCAAGTGGGGTCTCCTAGATAATGACCTTTGTTTAAAGAAAAAAGAAACTGAAGATGTTGTTCATGCTTTTATTTCATGTAAGGCAAACAAAACATTCTTTGAGTATTTAAAGGAATTAATTTTACATGCTTTTTATCTTGAAATAGAGATCGGCCTAGATATTATTTTCTTACTCAAAATGAATTTGCAAGCCGAAATCGATTCGATTATGACCATTGCATTCTGGTCTATTAATAAAATGATTTTTTTTCGTAATAAGTATAGGATGATAAAAAAGATTTGAATTTGATATGACTCACATACTAAAAGTAAATAAACATTTGAAAGTACAAAGTATGAAAATTCCTGCAAATTTGATTTTAGTTATATTTGAACAAATATTATGTGTATTATTGATGTTCCATGGTTTTGCTAAATTGTTTGTGAAATTATTTTATTGTTTGAATATTGAATAAACAATTCATTAGGGGTAAAGAGAAAACAAATTATTACCATCTGTCATACTTTCAACTGATATTCTCACCAATATCAAGACTTTAATAAGGTGTAAAACAATTGGTGATAAATTGCAATTACAAACCGATATCAAATGTTGATTGGGATAAAATAGGAGGTTAGACATGGTCTCAAGGGCTTTCGAGAAATTTCTCAAGGGAGATTTACGTAATAATAATAATAATAATAGCTCACATTTATAATGCGCCTAATACTTTGTTTCGAGGCCCGGGACATATTATTACCCCGGTCATCGGATTCAGGCTATAAATACCCGCACACAATGTATGCACATTCTCCACTCCCTGGGGAGCATTCCAGCCAGTCGCCATTTTACAAGCGCCATTGCTAATCAAACCACATTAGCTTTCGCATCCTACCGGGTACCCATTTTAACACCTGGGTGGAGAGTGGCAAATGAAGATCAATGTCTTGCCAAAGGACATTAGTGCCGCGGCGGGACTTGAACTGTGGACCTTGTGATCCACAGTCCGGTGACATATGCACTCGACCAGGACACCTCTAAGTAAACTGTTTTGTGTCCCATAGAAATCATACTCGGGTGACGTATCATAATAATAATAATAATAATTGGATTTATAGAGCGCCTTTTCCAAAGGATACAAGGCTCGGTCTATCAACAATTTTTGGAATAGTTGTACAGGTATGTTTTCATTTTTTTCTCGAAGAAATCTAGTGAAGTACTATCTCTTAAAGGTGAAATTCAAAGAAAAACACAAATATGTCAACTAATATATATCACTAGAAACTGGTTAGCTAACAGATGGCCATCGTACAAGTTTTAGGTCAACTACATATCGGGTGATTTATAAAAAAAAATACAACCACCTCCATAGCAGCTCGGATATACGAGAGATTCGCCGGAAAAATAACGATGTTTTAATGACGTCACTATATGGACCAATACTGCCCAAGCAGACGACATCCCATAAAGAATGAACATAATTGCAAAGCTATTATTTGTCACATTATAATGGGTTTAGTGTATATAAATGTAATGGCATGTCAAACCATTCAAAAGGGGATATGACCCGATTCTGATAACTGAAATTGTTTGCTTGTAAATACACAGGATAGAGGTTAATTATTAATCAAAGAAACCAGACTTTCCAATTGAAAAGCCCCCGGAATGATATTAAGGACGGCATTTGTTCCCTCTTGAAACGCCGAGCATACCGCGGTGTGTGCAGCTGAATATACAATGGCGTCTTATTTTGTTTACAAGCGACAGATTCCTTTATTTTTGTATCGCTGCATTTGTCATCAAAATAAAACCATGCGCGGGGTTTAGAGTGAGGCAATAGATTATACATATAGCCTGACGGTAGTGAAGTAAGAGAAAGAACTCAAGAGAAGATGAAAACACAGGCACTGAAAATGTGTGAGATGTCATGGGACATCGTCTGAATGTGCAAATCATGTCCACACTCTGATCTCACACATCTCAGCAGCGTTCAGAGAGCTCTTCAGGTGCTATGTCGGGCCTGTATTTAAGCGTTTTGTAATGTATAATAATCATTACTTCGAATGTTTCCAAGCATTGAATTTTGATAACCTTGTCGAATCAAAGTTTCAACTTTGCAATGATGAAAATAAAGTTAGATTTTAAAATCAATGAATATCTACTTTAAAAAACGAGGGGATTTTGTTCCAGAGACGTGGGGCTATAAGGACTGTATATTGTTTGCACATTACAAAGATTGATGGATACGGCCATTGTTGCTTTTTCAAAAGCCTTTACGACTCTGCTGATTTAATAGCACTTTTAAATCCTTGCATACACACAATTTCAAACAAGATGCCCGTTTCATAAGATACTTGAGGGAGAAGAAGGAAAGAAAAGGGTAACACGGAGAAAGGGGGAAACCAGGATGAGAGAGAGAGAGAGAGAGAGGGTGGGGGTAGAGGGGAGGGAAAATTAGAGATATCTCTAAATTTTAAAAATTATTATTATTTTTTTTTAAAATTAGAGATAAGGGTAATTACAATATAAAAACCATATTACGTAATATCATTCATGTTCACAGTGTTTGGATCATGTTTCATTACATCATAATAACAAATTTTGCTTTAAAACTCTGCCCCATTCAGTCCACCAAGAAGCCGCTCATCCCTATTATCATCATGCGCGTGGGGATGCGGAAATATTTTCACCACCACTCCCATGCAATAGCTCCCCCCCCCATTATTTAATTCGGTTGCCAGGAGATAAGGCAATATGGGTATGGCCGGCCCACGTCCCCTCATCATGACGGTTTTTAGTGCTCCCATAAAAAAGCCGAAAGCCTTAGCATTCCGTATTCTATAATAGCTATATACTAGCTAGCACTCACCATAGACAGGAATAGCGCCCCCCCCTCACTACGCCCCGCCCCGCCTCCTTTACTCCTTTGCTATACAGTGGCTGAATTTGAAATGAGAGATAACCCAATTCCCCTAGATTGCTTTTACCTATTCATAGACTCTGAATCACTCCTTGAAGACCAATAAGACCAATAAATTATTTCAAAGGAAATCAGATTTTTTAAAAGCTTTGGTATGTAGGTCTAGGAATGTTGATAAATCCAGATTAAGTGACGCAATTTTATGCTCATTTACTGGTAAATTATTACTGTTTTCCTATACTAGTGTACTTTGGAAAAACTATGTGTCTCTGACAATATTTTGCATGTAACATGATTTATTTAAAACACTTTTGCCAATTAATTACTGAATGTTCATTTTCATCTCATTCCAAGCGCCAATTCTCTTTAATTCTCTCTTCCTCTCTCTCTCTCTCTATCTCTATTTATACTGTACATAATCATTCTCACTTATTAATTGATTCATCTGTCAGAATCATATAGTACAATCACAGCCACAATTTAATGAAAGAAATCTACAAAATAAATGTATGCAGAGAAAATTTTATTACTAACAAAAATAAACAAATAATAACTGTACAAAATATTCATATAATCAAAGACAAATCAAGTAATATCTTTCTTTTACAAAAATGAATATTCATTATTTACAAACATAAGTACAAATAATGAAATACATGTCTATGATTCATATACAATCCATTTGTGTAAGGCAATAGCAAAACCATGTCATGAAACTGGAAAATTTCATCCCCTTTTAACCAAATGCCCAAATCTGGACATTTTCAAATATTTACGAATATAGATATATACAAATAATGAAAAACATATGACGATACATATACAATTGATTGAGTCAGCCAATAGCAATACCATGTCTTGAAAACCGAACATTTTTATCCCCTTTTGACCAAATGCCAAAATCTGGACATCTTCATACATTACAGATATAAATAAATAAGTACAAATAATAAATTACATATGAATGACACATATACAATTTACTCCACTTGTGTGAGCCAATAGCCAAACCGGAAATATTTATCCCCTTTGACCAAAGTGCCAAACCGGAAATTTGTATCCCCTTTGACCAAATGCCAAAACCAGAAATTTTTATCCCCTTTGACCAAATGCCAAAACCGGAAATTTTTATCCCCTTTTGACCAAAGTGCCAAGGAGGAGCTAACCACCAATAAAAAGGGCTATAGTGTCTCCGAATCGTACAATCGAAAATGAAAAAGAAAATGTTTGCATGTGTCGGCTGACGGTAACGGCAACAGGATTAGGTACCTAAGATATGAGATGTTGATGTTTTTTAAATTATATCTTATAACATTTAAACTAAATAATGACCTGCATCATTTTAAAGCTGAAAACCTGTTCTTTACTCTCATATGATTATGTCATATGCTGAAACTTTTTGGCCGGTTCTTATTATTCAGAGTCGGAGAGACATGCATGTTCCTAAAATCTCCGGTAAAGGGGTACTTTTTCGCGCGACAAAGTCCGGCCTGTATTGACTTTCACACCGGAGATAGGGGGGGGGGGGGGGTGCTTTCAAAGGGAGGGCTTATCCGCACAATACATACAATCAATGGCCAAAGTGCGTTTTCAACTGCTTTTAAGACTGTCGAAGGACATTTTAACTAAATAATGGCCTACATCAAAACCTGTTCTTTCCTCTCATAGGTCGCGTGCCGAAAGATTTTGTCTGAGTGTTACTGTTTACGATTGAAATTAGAACTAGAACCGGCATATACGGTTTTTTCTTCTCCAAATGTGTATTTAAGTTCGAATGCTTTTAAAACTATCATAATGTCGTCCATGGGCTTTGAAGCGTCTTCCAAAGTAGGGGGGGGGGGGGGAGGGGGGGGGGGGGCAAAAATAGGGAAATTTCTGGTAACAAAGAGGACAGCTACATGGAAAACCTCAATATGTCATTTGTCGACATTGGTATATCATACCCCTACATTGTGAATACTTTATGGTCCAAGAGACTGACTAATCACCATTCAGTTGCAGTTGGGTGTGACGGTCGGAGTATTCATGTTCATTCAGAGCCACCGGAAAATCAGGGGTTTTAGGTATTTAATAACGGTCAGATGAGCATCCAAGGCACCAACTTAGGGTCCTTGGTGGGGTCCAGGGAGCGGTGCCTCCGTATTGCGACACTGGCAGGTCACTATTCTTTTTTCTTTAACATTTTTTTCTTCAAAAAGAGCTCTACAGCTTGTAGAGGGTGCAATTAGTAGCTACAAGTAGTACAGTCCCGCTTTAAGTTTCTTTCTTCTTCTATTAAATTTTTCTTTTTTCTTTTTCGTTTTTGTCCAAGTACAGAATATTGGAAATGTTGGTCGTCCACTGAAAGGATTTAATATATAGAGGGCGACGCTCCTGTGAGTGCCCCTCCTTGTATGATCACGAATGGCAAAATGCCTCAACTCTATTTCGCATTCTGTATTTAAGAATAATATATTAATCATTGACTCTCACGGGCGTCATTCGAGGGGTTGTGATTTAATTTATAGTGGTCTGCCAGAAAATAAAAATATATTACCAATTAGCCTGTTTGTTTTGTTTTTTCTACTTCTGAATTAAAAAAAAAAGAAAAAATCTTGGAATTTCAGGGGCGTCAGTCCAGGGTTGGAGATTTGATTTTAGAGACTTAATTTCATATTCTGAATTTAAGAATAGTTATATCATCAATACATTACAAATACAATACAAAACTAAATAAAATACGTTTCAAAATGGTTGTGCTTCATTTATTCATGTAACGGCAAATACTGAACTAAACATATAACTGAGGCTTAATCCTTGGGGATTGCTTCTGAAAGATTGTCCATCATTCTTTGCATCATTTTTTTGCCCATGTCCACCGTGAGAGCACTGCAATGCGGAGTGATGATGACATTGGGCATCTTCAGCAGGGGATGACCCGAAGGCAACGGGTAAGGTTCGGTCAAGTCGAGGCCTGCTCCGGCGATGGTACCGCTCCGAAGTGCGTCTGTGAGGTCATCATGGTCGACCAACTCTCCTAAATTCAGGTAAAAGTGAAAAAGGATCGATTTTTTAATGAGGAGTGGGCTTGTCACAGAATGCATTGTGAGAGATACTATCTTAAAGATATTAGCTGGTGGTAATGAAATTGAATTTGAATTATGCTGTAAATAGTAATGTTTTAATTCAAAACGCATCCGAAAATGAATGTAAGAACGTTTTGTGTATGCCCCTAACAAGAGAACACTGTATCCGCCACTGAGTATTGATAACCTACCTCTTATAAAATTAAATAAAGATTTTTCTGGAATTGTCCTCTCCCCCGTGATATGTCGTTTTTTTCTTCAAAGAACTATGTCAGACTCTTCCACAGTAACCATGACATTTATGAACAGTATATTGATGATGAAAAATAACAGTTTACCTACCTCTGTAACCACGTTAATTTCAGTTGCAATTGGTTTCGTATTCTCTCCCCCCTTCATGATAGGTCCTAATCGCTAATCGTTTTTCATCGTTATTGCGTGAGATTCATCTTCCGGAAGTGGTTTCACGAGATATTGTCTTTTAAAGCCCCACTGTCCTACTTGTAGCTACTTGCTCCCTCTAAATAGAAAACTTCCCCAATCGGTGCCTGTTGGTCCCCCATGATCCTCTTTTTCTTATGTTAGTTGAGAGCTGAGTTAATGAGAAAGCCACTTGTCAGTGACCTCGCTGTGTGGTCTAATCCCTTCTGGCCCAGTAGTAATGACGGTCTTTAAAGAAATCACATCTTTTAAAGTAACAATGGCATATAACAACAGGCTGATGACGAACGATAACAATAACATACCTCTCGCGACATTGATGAGGATTGCATTTGATTTCATTTTGTTGAACTGGTGTTTTCCCATGATATGACGTGTTTCTTCCGTTAGAGGAAGCGAGAGCACCAGAAAGTCTACATGAGGTAGCAGATCATCCATCGAGGAACAGTAAGTGGCCTTTACTTCGTCTTCTTCGGCAGCAGTCCTAGAAAATAGCAGAAAGTTTATCAAGGCTAGAACTAGACAGAAGTAACCGTCTAGTATGGGTCACTCTTTAATAAAACTGACATTTGTCAAAATTCCAAATACATATGTAAAGAGGCGGTCAGAGGAGCCAGGTGCCCCCCAAAATTTCCAAGATCGGTTGAACTTTTTTTAGACCCCTTTTTTGACCTCGATCGATTACATGTATGTGCCCCCCCCCAAACATCAAACTATGGCTACGTGCCTGCTCAGCAGAACAATTAACCGTCGATATCAGAGACTGAAGCTTGTGGTCTAGGCTAAAACATGCATATAAAAACGGTTCTCGCATTTTGGGGTGCCTTTCCATTAATTAGGTTGTACAACTATGCATCAAGTACATTCTAATGTCAGACTAAATCAGGTTAACAATGTATTAAACTGCTAGAATTGTGCTCGCTCGGGGAACTCTAGAGGCGGAAAGTTTAGACACGAGTCGTCAGCCCCGCTTCTCACTATGACTTCCACCAAATCCTGAATATTAGGAACCAGTTAAGGATCGAGGGTTCTCTGACTACAAAAACAACAAAATAAAGGAGCTATTTCATAATTCAGAGGCACGATTATGTTTCAAAATCGAAGCAAGCCGCAAAGTGAAGCCACTCTTTCTACAGCCTTGAAACAAGTCTCAAAGAATATTTGTTGTCAAATTTTGCCGAGCGCAAGGAGGTGGTAGAGGGCGATCGAGAACCACACAATGTAAGGTTAGTTTATTAATTTTAGTCTAATTATAACTGCATTACCTCCTACTGCGACTGTAGTATAGGGTTTTCATCTTAAATCCCACAGCCCTCCGTGCGACCTCGTAACCGATGCTTCCCATACCTACGATACCGAGGGTAGAACTCGTCACTTCATGGCCTAGGACTTGCATAATTTGTTCAACCACTACTTTTGATTGAGCTGCGAAGCGGTGAGCTAGCTGGATAACTGAATAGTTCATCAAAACGTATCAAATTGTAATTATTAATGATCATGACCATATAGTGTATTAGAAGGAGTGGCATAAGCAAACAAAGTAAAAATTAACAACCCCCGAGAAAGAAAAAAAAAGTAGCAATATTGTATTAACAAAAGCTCATCAATCCGTATTCTAATAATTCAGTTAAACCCGGCTCTGGGTCTTACATCACGTATAACAGAGGAAAACTTAGACCCCCCCCCACTCTGTGTTATTTAGGGTATGCGTATGTATATGTTCCCTCCCTTTGAAAGCATTCCCTATCTCCGGTGTGTATGTCAATACGGGCCAGACTTTTATGTCTTACGGGCCAGACTTTGTTGAGTGAAAGTGCCCCTTTACCGGAGATTTTGGGAACACGAATGCGGTCCCTACGACCCTGGGGGGGGGGGGGGGGGCTTCGACCTCAGACTAAATTCCTTTGTTAAACCGATTTTGAACAAAACCCTAAACCCAACTGTCGAGTTTGAATTGTAGAGGAGTCCTGACCATCATCTTTAGAATGTGTAAGTTAGTTCCGCTGCCATGGTTGAGTTAGCAGAAATGGATTACAGGAATTACTGAATAATTTAGAAAACGTAGGCCTTAATTCTAATGAATGATTAGGAAGACGGCACTGGAGACCGATACGTTGGTCTTGTGGGCCTTCTTTCAACTCTTGAGAAAATTCAGTAGATCGACATTGTCGGTTTCTTGGGCTTTCGGTCTCTTTGGATAGTGGTCATTTTGGACGACGTTCTTATGGGCTTTCGGTGTACATGGGTGTTCTATTTGGCAGACGGTCTCATGAGCCGACGGTCTATTGGGTCGTACGTCTACTGGAGTGTCCGTGACCTACCTTCTGTGTTTCTCCTTGCAATAGAGAGTAGTAGATTGAAGACCATATCAGCACATGCATCACTGTTCACACCTCCCGCATTATAAACCTTGATGTTGTACTTCCGGAGCAGGGCAAGGTCAAGGTGATCCGTGCCACTGGACGCAGTGACAACAGCCTGAATAAAAAGGAAAGAGCCGATGACAAATATCAAGTAATGGTTATATAGATATGTTCGAGGTAATTAAGGCTGATCCACTCCGGCTCATACCGAAGATACTTAAAGGTAATACAAAGTTTTGGTATGGGGTCATGAATTTGGTTCAAATGAACATATTGGAAGCATATGCGATCCTACAATATTCAGTGATCGCTTTCGCGGTTGAAATCGAGTCTAACGTTATGAAATTGTAAATAATAAACTCTTTATGTTGTATAGCTCCCTCTCACGGTCAAGATATTAATTTAACCATAAAATAATGTTTCTTGACTAAAATCGACCGATTGGCTATTCCCGTTTGGAAATTATAGATAACAACTACAATTTCTGAAAATGTCATTGTCGTATAGCTACCATTGTACGGCCGTCAGCGCTGATTGAAATTTATCGAAATTTACCGGGAGCACCGGTAAATTCTCGAAAGCAAAAGTGTTTTAGGTGCTAAATATTCTAGTGCTTATAATACATCCACAGGGGCATTCAAATATATCAAAATTGTAAAGAATCACTATCCAGCCAATCTTCTAAATTTTCCGAAACTTTGTAATACCTTTAAGTTTCTTTTTTCTACAATTGAACTTTATAAGTAGTTGTGATTTATTGTATTGCACTGTATCCGTAATCAAAGTGAAATTGGTATAATTGCATAACAATTATTTTATCTGAATTAGTATAATACCAGCCTTTGAAGCTGATTGGGTACTGTTACCTTTAAATTGACCATCCGATCCAGCAGTCCGGGGGATAGCTTTGGCGTGCCGGACGGAGTCACAAGCATGGCATCCACCTTAGCCGCATACTGGTCCACTGCCGAGCTGAACTCCTCCCAATGTATCACCTGATACATCTCATGCATAGCTTCTGTCAGTTTGAGACTGGGATGATAAGCCTTCGGAATCGTCACCAACACCCAAGCGGGTTTCCTCTCGGAGTTGCTTGCCATTGTTCTAGATATAAAGGGTTGGTAGGATCGTTAAGACTTTCGAGAATTTGACCAATAGAGTACTCGTTCTTCGCCTTTTTAAATGTGTAGGCATTACACACTATGAACATGACGGACAAAGAAAGGGGACAAAATATACAGTTCCTCAATCTACCCTCTGCAATTGCTGTGGTAGACAAAGGAACATACCTTCACTGCTATTATATAATGTGTAGAACAGGTCTCACATGCATATTCATCTGTTCTACACATTTTTACACAATAGTAGTGAAGGGATGTTCCTTTCTCTACCACAGCAATTGTTGAGGGTAGAATGAGAAACTGTATATTTTGTCCTCTTTCTTTGTCCGTCATGTTCATAGTGACAATGACAACATCCAAACTGGATATCCAATGACAAGGGATTAGGGTGTTGGATCATTTAATAGCCCTTGAGTTGATTTCTTGAAAGTTTTGGTTTTACGCCACTCCCTCTAGTGACGATTGCTCCGGGGTCATCATCCGACACATTTATTCGTATCACTTCAACCTTCTAGTTAGCACAGTACGAATGATCAAAATAATATTCAAAGAATGATCTGTAAAACGAAGAATCGCTAAAAAGCGGAGAGTGGTGACGGGTCTGTTTGACATGATAGTGCTTTTCTTGACGGATTTGTCGAGATCTTTTTTTTTTTTTTTTTTTATTTCAGCCGAAACCCCTCCGATCCTCCTTGGCGTAGCTATAGGGGCACGGAAAATATACGCACCCCGCCTCCCCACCCCCCAATCGAAGACGAAAGAAAAGGAAAATAAGGAAGAGAGAAAGGAAGAGAAGCGTGGAAAATGTATGACCCTGTCCTACGCCCCGCCCCGCCCGCCCCCTCCCCTAATCAGTAACAATGACCTCAAAACGATGCCAGTGCCCCCTAAATGTTTGGAAACCGGATACCCCACTGTTACAGAAATTTACAAGATTCCTACATGACAACATGTTGTGTCGTCTTAAAATGCATGTATAATTATGTAAAAAAGGTGGGGCAATTAATGTTCACATAGCTGTACGTATACTACATGTATACGTTCCACTCCGTATGCCTGGACAGAGGGCAATATCGGACTATTTTGCCCAGGTAAGCCACTAACCCTTAGTTATCCTCAGTCTTGTTTGAATCTTTATGGTCTTTGTATGTAGGTCATGTTGGTCAAAACAAAAGGAAATGTCGTTTTCCGAATGGTCCGAAAGTCAACCGTTTGTCACATAAGAACTTAATTTATTATGCGATGTATAACACTAGACATACCAGAAACATACGAATGCGTTTAAGGGAAACTCAGCGATTAGGTTAAACCATCATCTGGATTATATCGTTCGAGGAGATTTTAGTCCAATTCAATTCACATTTTTCGCATTATTACAACAAAAACAAAAATAATAACAGGCATAATTAAAAAAAAAAATCAAAACAATAATAATACAGGGATGAAGGTATAAAATCCACCAATATTATGTTGGGTATACCTTAGTAAAGAATAGGCCTATAATATAAATGCCAACATATAAGAAGGGAGGGGCGGGGTCGACGAAAATAAGAAATAAAACGATTTGTAAATTCCTTTCTTCATTCCTATTGATGCAATGCGATATGCAAATATTTGTGAGAAATTATATTGTAACATGCACAATTCTGCCTACGGCTGCAATGCATTGTTGAAAAAAGAGCTATCATATCATTGAATTGAATTGAATTGAACAGGATTGAATTCCCTATAATTCTACGAGGATCAAACGGTGCCTAACTCTCTCTCTGTTGTCCCTCCGCTTTTCGGAGATCAGCGAGTTTATCGCATTCGAAGTAGTAAATATGTTATAAAATCCTGAGGTTGGAGGGTAATGGAGTGCAGGCGATGTACGTGTATTACATGTAGTTGGACTTTGTTATTAGGGACTTTTAGATTTGCGTGGCCTAATACGTGTGACGTCCATTCAAGGTAGTGCTTAATAAGGACGTCGAGCGTAGCATAGACCTATTGTCTTCGTGCGAATCTAAAAGTCCCTATTATGAGTTGTTAAATAAACACGCATCACTCACAGTATATCCTGATATATGGTTCGCCTCTGCAACCCTATATTCTAGCACAGATAATTCTGTGCAGTTTCACACACAATAGGCTATTTCAGTGATTATGGTTGTACGTTGTCTGAGCATGAGCAGATAAAGGTCATTCTGCATTGCAGAACAAATTTTGAAATACGCGGAGACAAAATACTGGATACGTGCTCATGAAACGTATGTAATCATTATTCATTCATGCACATTCAGTGTACTCCATTATACACAGGTGGAAGTATTCTTTGAAAAAGGGGAACAAAGGCTATTTGTATAGTACTAGCTACATCGCTGTAGGAGTGATTATTCCAAAATGTACAAAGTGGTGGATATTCGGGGTCATTGCAGTAATGTGCTAACCGTGAACTGGTCTATCTAATGCATACGTTTGTGTGACGTATCTCAATAGTAAGAATTCAAAATGCATAGTTGTTACTAGCTAGGTAAGACAAACATTATGGCTTGCCCTACCTAACAACACGTCGTGGATGCAATTTGCGTTTCTGACTGTTAAAATATAATTATTCGTAACAGGTGAATGAAATAATTTGTATCAAGGCACTTATGTATAAATTTGGTTACACTACGAACATGGCCTATTGCAGTATTAGTCAATGGTTTTGAAGTGACATTCGTGAGCAATTTATCATAATCTCCATCACAAAACAAAAACAATATAACTTACCTATACTGATCCTAAAACGTGACAAATAATGAACATTTTCTTCTTTCGTTCGCTTGTTCAATTACACTACAAAATTCTAGTTTCTATGGTGTAAAAATGTAGGCTATGGATGGACAAACAAGTCTACCAGACAAGCAGCTCCAAAATGAACTTTAGACTAGGAAACACGTTTGCTAACAGCAAAGCAAGGAGGCGCAATAGCTCAGTTGGTAGAGCAGTGGTCTCGTAATCCCTTTGGTATAATTAGGCATGAATCCTCATTACCAGGTCTCTCGGAGAGGACCTAAAGCCACCGGTCCTCTGGTTGCTTACTAACAAGCATTTATGCTTTCTTAGCAGTCAGGTAAAATAACCACCACCACCATAAGAAATGAAGTGGAATGTTATACCTTACCAATTTGCGAGTTGAGAGGTGAGTTGATACTACGCACAGTACAAAGTAGGTCTATACCATGTACAGCTATATAATAAGATATAGCTTTATGGTCTATACCCACAGTATAACGGAAGCTTAAAAGGGAAATTCAACCTCGATAACGCAGGAAAGCAACTGTAAGCAATTCACTCGCATTTCATTATTTTGTTCTTCTCGATATGCACCAGTTATTCCACCCTTCCACCGAACAGAACAAACCTAAACGTTTGGCGCATATAACGTCCAGAGTATATTGAAGGGGATGGGGGTTAATACATTCGTTGCTGATTTCCCATTTGCTTTAAATGTGCTGAAACTCACATAAAATGTAGATTATTATATACCTCATCGAATACGGGGTGCAAAAAATCTAGCAGCCGACATTAAAAAGGTTTTATTTGAGCGCATATCAACCAATGTCCAGAACAAACTTAAACTTTTGGTGCATATAACGTCCAGAGTATTTAGAAGGGAGTGGGGGTTAATACATTTGTTACTAATTTCCCATTTGCTTTAAATGTGCTGAAACTCACATGAAATGTAGATTATTATATACCTCATCGAATACGGGGTGCAAAAATTCTAGCAGCCGACATTAAAGAGGTTTTATTTGAGCGCATATCAACGCATGTCCAGAACAAACCTAAACGTTTGGTGCATATCACGTCTAGAGTATTTAGAAGGGGGTGGGGGTTAATACAATCGTTGCTGATTTCCCATTTGCCTTAATTTTGCTGAAAATCATATGAAATGTAGATTATTATATACCTCACCGAATACGGGGTGCAAACATTTTAGCAGCTGACAAAAAAGGTCTTATTTGAGCGCATATCAACCAATGTCCAGAACAAACCTAAACGTTTGGCGCATATAACGTCTAGAGTATATAAAAGGGGATGGAAGTTAATACATTCGTTGCTGATTTCCCATTTGCTTTAAATGTGCTGAAACTCGCATGAAATGTAGATTATTATATACCTCATCAAATACGGGGTGCAAAAATTCTAGCAGCCGACTTTTAAAAGGTCTTATTTGAGCGCATATCAACCAATGTCGAGAACAAACTTAAACTTTTGGTGCATATAACATCCATTTGTATATAGAAGGGGTAGGGGTTAATACATTCGTTGCTACTTTCCCATTTGCTTTAAATGTGCTTAAACATAACATGAAATGTAGATTATTATATACCTCATCGAATACGGGGTGCAAACATTCTAGCAGCCGACTTTCAAAAGGTCTTATTTGAGTGCATATCAACCAATGTCCAGAACAAACCTAAACGTTTGGCGCATATAACGTCTAGAGTATATAAAAGGGGATGGGGGTTAATACATTCGTTGCTGATTTCCCATTTGCTTTAAATGTGCTGAAACTCACATAAAATGTAGATTATTATATACCTCACTTAAGTAATCCAGCAATCTGATTGGTCGAAATTGCATTCATAAACTTTAACTGTTCCCGAAAATTCCCGGTAACCATGGTTAAAAAACAGTTCAAAATCCCAATAACCATGGTTATTGGGAAAATAGGTCAGTCTCCATGGTTACCCCATAGGTTTACATGTTAAAAAAGGTCTGAGCGATCGAGGATACCGTACGTGTGCGAAGAATTGGTCGGTAATTTCAATACAATTGAATCTCGATCGATCTTACCGACAATTTTATCTTGCATTGTTGACATGAAGACGAAAATAAACTTCCAAAAACAAAAAAACAACATTTGCCGATAGATCTTGATCTAAGTTCGTGCCAATATGCATTGCAAAAGTAAAAGAAGGGCCCGTTTAATGGAGCAGCGGCGAAGCATCGACCACGCGAAGCCGTTTTCAATTCATTTTAATGTATATATTAAAGCAAACTACTGTGCATGGTGACAGAGCGCGCTGGCCGAGCGGATTAATGCGCTGACTTTAGCAACATCACATTTAGTACCCAAGAGTTCGAATCCCATCTTCGACAATTTTTTTTTTCTTTTCTTTTTTTTCGGCATATAAAAGTATTAATGACTGCTTTAATATTCGAGAAATAGTTGTTTTTATACGCTCTCGGGAAGGTTACAATTGGGCTATTCCCCTCGGCACGCCTCGGGTAATAGCACAATTCTAACCTTCCCTTAAGCGTATAAAAACAACTATTTCTCTCAAAGCAGTCATTAATACTATAATATATACCTCATCGAATACGGGGTGCAAAAATTCTAGCAGCCGACATTAAAAAGGTCTAATATTTGAGCGCATATCAACCAATGTCCAGAACAAACTTAAACTTTTGGTGCATATAACGTCCAGAGTAGGGCTTAATACATTCGTTGCTAATTTCCCATTTGCTTTAAATGTGCTTAAACTCAGATGAAATGTAGATTATTATATACCTCATCGAATACATGGTGCAAAAATTCTAGCAGCCGACAATAAAAAGGTTTTATTTGAGTGCATATCAACCAATGTCCAGAACAAACTTAAACTTTTGGTGCATATAACGTCCAGAGTATATAGAAGTGGGTGGGGGTTAATACATTCGTTGCTGATTTCCCATTTGCATTAAATGTGCTGAAACTCACATGAAATGTAGATTATTATATACCTCATCGAATACGGGGTGCAAACATTCTAGCAGCAGACTTTAAAAATGTCTTATTTGAGCGCATATCAACCAATGTGGCAGAACAAACCTTAATGTATAGCGCATAACATGTAGAGTATATCGGTAAAGGGGTTTCGGGCTTTAATACAGTCGCCGCTATTTCCCATTTGCCTTAATGTTGCTTAAAATCACATGAAATGTAGATTATTAAATACCTCACCCAATACGGGGTGCAAAAATTCTAGCAGCTGACAATAAAAAGGTCTTATTTGAGCGCACATCAACCTATGTCCAGAACAAACCTAAACGTTTGGTGCATATAACGTCCAGAGTATTTAGAAAGGGGTGGGGGTTAATACATTTGTTGCTAATTTCCCATTTGCTTTAAATGTGCTGAAACTCACATGAAATGTCGATTATTATATACCTCATCGAATACGGGGTGCAAAAATTCTAGCAGCCGACAATAAAAAGGTTTTATTTGAGCGCATATCAACCAATGTCCAGAACAAACTTAAAATTTTGGTGCATGTAACGTCCAGAGTATATAGAAGGGGGTGGGGGTTAATACATTCGTTGCTGATTTCCCATTTGCATTAAATGTGCTGAAACTCACATGAAATGTAGATTATTATATACCTCATCGAATACGGGGTGCAAACATTCTAGCAGCAGACTTTAAAAATGTCTTATTTGAGCGCATATCAACCAATGTGGCAGAACAAACCTTAATGTATAGCGCATAACATGTAGAGTATATCGGTATTAAAAGGGGGTTTCGGGCTTTAATACAGTCGCCGCTATTTCCCATTTGCCTTAATGTTGCTTAAAATCACATGAAATGTAGATTATTATATACCTCACCCAGTACGGGGTGCAAAAATTCTAGCAGCTGACAATAAAAAGGTCTTATTTGAGCGCATATCAACCTATGTCCAGAACAAACCTAAACGTTTGGTGCATATAACGTCCAGAGTATTTAGAAAGGGGTGGGGGTTAATACATTTGTTGCTAATTTCCCATTTGCTTTAAATGTGCTGAAACTCACATGAAATGTCGATTTTTATATACCTCATCGAATACGGGGTGCTAAAATTCTAGCAGCCGACAATAAAAAGGTTTTATATGAGCGCATATCAACCAATGTCCAGAACAAACTTAAACTTTTGGTGCATATAACGTCCAGAGTATATAGAAGGGGGTGGGGGTTAATACATTCGTTGCTGATTTCCCATTTGCATTAAATGTGCTGAAACACACATGAAATGTAGATTATTATATACCTCATCGAATACGGGGTGCAAACATTCTAGCAGCCGACTTTAAAAAGGTCATATTTGAGCGCATATCAACCAATGTGGCAGAACAAACCTTAAAGTATAGCGCATAACATGTAGAGTATATCGGTGAAGGGGGTTTCGGGATTTAATACAGTCGCCGCTATTTCCCATTTACCTTAATTTTGCTGAAAATCACATGAAATGTAGATTATTATGTACCTCACCCAATACGGGGTGCAAAAATTCTAGCAGCTGACAATAAAAATGTCTTATTTGAGCGCATATCAACCAATGTCCAGAACAAACCTAAACGTTTGGCGCATATAACGTCCAGAGTATACAGAAGGGGATGGGGGTTAATACATTTGTTGCTGATTTCCCATTTGCTTTAAATGTGCTAAAACTCACATGAAATGTAGATTATTATATACCTCATCGAATACGGGGTGCAAAGCATCTAGCAGAAAATTCTAGCAGCTGACAATAAAAAGGTCTTATTTAAGCGCATATCAACCAATGTGGCAGAACAAACCTTAATGTATAGCGCATAAAATGTAGAGTATATCGGTGAAGGGGGTTTCGGGCTTTAATACAGTCGCCGCTATTTCCCATTGGCCTTAAATGTGCTGAAACTCACATGATTATTATGTACCTCATCGAATACGGGGTGCAAAAAATCTAGGAGCCGACATTAAAAAGGTTTTATTTGAGCGCATATCAACCATTGTCCAGAACAAACTTAAACTTTTGGTGCATATAACGTCCAGAGTATTTAGAAGGGGGTGGGGTTAATACATAATGTGCTAATTTCCCATTTGCTTTAAATGTGCTGAAAATCACATGAAATGTCGATTAGTGTATACCTCATCGAATACGTGGTGTAAAAATTCTAGCAACCGACATTAAAAAGGTTTTATTTGAGCGCATATCAACCAATGTGGCAGAACAAACCTAAACGTATAGCGCATAACATGTAGAGTATATCGGTGAGGGGGTTTCGGGCTTTAATACAGTCGC